AAAGGGGGCGGGGAGGAGGGGATATTGAGTGATTTATTGAGTGACTACAAGAGTGTGTGTGTGTGGGGGGAGGGGCAGAATTTTCTTGTAATTATTAAATGATTTATTTTATATCATAGATTCGTCAATCGGTTTCGTCTCTAGCACATGCAACTGATATCACATTTGTAAAAAATCAATAACATTTTAGGATTTTATGGAAAATACGATCGAATGAATTAGTTGATTGATTCATTTATTGATTGGTTGACTGGTTGGTCGGTTGGTAAGTCGTTTAATTGGTCGGTTGGATAATGGGTTGGTTGGTTCGCTCTTCCTTTACATCTTCACTGATTTATTCATTTTTAAAATCTATTTCTTCTACACTTTACAATACATTTATCTGTTCTTAAGTAAGTTAGTTAGTAGTACAGGGTTTTACGGCGCTCGCAACTGCATGAGGTCATATGAGCGCGCGAAACACAAGTTGTTTACATTCGCAACAGTTCACTGCACAGTTGGTATCTTTTGGACCTTAAAATACTAAAATTCGGTGTAAATATATTTTTAAATCTGTCTTTATCTGTTCTTGTTGGTAATTATCAATCAATAATGTTATAATGATAATATACCACCTCCGCTGCATTTTTATCATAACTATTCATTATTTTCCTTGATCAACGTAGCGTATTTTTATTGTTTAATTATTTCTAATTGCTAGACATTCTTTGATCATAATTCTTTTTAGCACAATTGTTGCTTCAATAGTCAGGTGATCGACAGACTGGCTGTCTCTTTAATAATTTGTCAATTTTAAGGACAAGTGGGCTGACCCAGATTTTGGCGGTTTCCAGAAATCCTGACCTACACCAAAAGTGGGCATTGCCCTACCTATGGGAGAAGTTTGGTTTCAGTGGTGTGTATATTTGTTTGGTTATAGAGAAAACTCCCCTTGTCTTTTAAAGTAACTGAACAAGGGGCAATAATTTTACCTTTGATTTTCTCAAAACAGCTTTTTTTTAGGGATAGTCCCTTGTGCTTTAAAGTGACCAATTGTCTTTGTTTGATATAAACTAAGGGGGTGTTGAAGGCGAACAAAATGGAAACAACAACAACAACAAATACAACATTTTATCGCCTAAAGGGATTAGAATACAGTTTGACCTTGGCTGCGTCTTCCGGTTTCTTGAAGGT